AGTTCGGTTAAGCGTCAGGCCCAGGAAGGCACCCAAAGGGTATCGGATGCTAGGCTGCGAATATAGGAACCTGATTAAGAAACCCTGAGTCCTTATTAGGGTTCTTTATAATAAAACTGTATGGCCTGTAGAAAGTACTCGGCTGTATGGCTTGGTCAAGGGACCCTTGTAAACTCGCCTGTAAAATCTTTCAAGAGAAGTATTGGCCTCCAAAAAGGAACCCTCCTAAACCTGTATTCTTTGCCTGCAACACCCTTCTAGAGCTGTACGGCCTGGTGAAGTGACCCTTCTAAACCTTAATTCCTTGCTTGTGACAGCCAGCTTAAGGGACCCTCTAAGCCTGTCTTCCCTGCTTGTAAGAGAGCGGTATGGGCTGTAGATGCATGGCCTGATTGACCTTTTTCCTCCAATCGTAGGTGAGGACCCTTGGGAAACATGTTAGAGCTGTGTATTGTTTGGTATAGGGGTCTCTCTGCAGCTTTCAGAGATGCTTGTGTGCCCGAGTTATGTTGAGGTGTTTTTGTTGGTTGGGCTTTCCTCGCGTGCGAGAGCGCGCAGAAGCTACGCGAAAGCGGCGCGGAAGGGGCTGTTTCTGGGAGCAAGAACTTCTGATTACACCCATATGGGTCCTAATTACTATTTTGAGGTTCTAGGGCCAGAGTTTCTTAATCAGGTTCCTACATTAGATGCAAACATTCAATTTTCAGGGTTGTTGCCCGGCAGGGAAGTTCGGCCCCTTAAGGGTTCCTGAATATACGGAAACCACACTTTACCCCAAAGCTCTAGTCGAATTCTTGCATCTATAGTTTGGTCTCTCGTGTAGTTCCTTGTTTGGCTAGCCCTGTGGATCGCTAGGATCCTGTTCATAAAGCGCACTCGTAAGGCTCTGGGGTATAGGGTGGCATGCTGGAAGGAGCCCACGACGATCAGCTTCAATGCCGTCCTTTTTGCTTGCCAGCTGGCCAGCCGCTCGCCCAAACGCAGAAGTTGCCTTTGGGGCCTCGTGGACAAGACCTGGCTCTGGGCATTTGTAGTCAGCTTCTTGGTAACAGAATAAACCCTAAACCCTAAACTGGCCCTAAACCCTAAACCCTAAACCCAAAGATGAAGATAGTAGGATCCGGCTTCAGCATCGAGCCTCACGAAAATCAACAGCAGTTGTTGTAGTTTTGGAAGAACGGTGGCCACTGCATTCTTTATGAACCTTACCCTGAAGCCAAACCAATCTGCTAGTATACGGGTCGGAAGAACTACTTATCCTATTCCTTATGGTTCTGTAATGCCAAAATTCTTTTATACCATAGTGCACCCCAAAGCCTATTCCAAGATCTTTCAGCAAGCCCCTAGTTGGTGAGGATTCTCTCCGCTGTGTCTACCCATAGGCCCCTAAGTAGTTCTTTTTTGTGGTTTAGATTTTCAGTCCTATAAGGTAATCCCAAAAAGGAACTACTTAGGGGCCTACAGATAACCCCAAATAGCCTACCTTTTCTAGGGGTTCCTTGTTATGGTTTCTATTTAGAATCCTACAAGGTAATCCCAAAAAGGAACTACTTAGGGGCCTATGGGTAGGTAGGGCTCTCTGTGCTTCCGCAAGCCCATGAGGTCAGTGGCAGCAGGCTGCCTGTCTTCTGCGCCCCGGCTTGGGTCAGACGTCGGGGCTTTTGGGGTTTTGGGGTTTTGGGCTTAGGGGTTTGGGGTTTAGGGTTCAGGGTTCAAGGTTCAAGGTTTAGGGTTCAAGGTTTAGGGCTTAGGGTTTAGGGTTCAGCGCTTACGATTACAGGTTTGAAGGTACCCTATAGAGCATCATAAACCCGAAACCGATAACCCCTAAGGCCCCAAACCCGTAAACCTCAAACTCAAACCCTTCCAAGATTTGTGTATTGGTCTGTCGGCCTTGGCAGGGGACGGCAAGTCCTCCTAAGTTTCGGATAGCCAGCACTTAATGTAAGAATAGGGTTTTGGGGCTCCTTATTATAATTGCAGTTTAATATACCCCCAAATCCTACTCTAATTTGTTTTGATTACTAAGGCCCGTAGATTATTGCAGATCACTCTGGCTTCATAGGCTTCGGAAGTTTCTTTCCCTGACGCTTCCATGGCTTATGTGCCAAGGCTTTTGACAGCAAAGACCATGCTCTATATCTAGGACATTTTCAGGTGGGTAGTTTCCGTTATGGGAGCCTTATAGAAGGTCTATATACCTTATAGAAGCCTTATGGAAGCCCTATGTACCCTAAACTCCCCACCTGTAGTTTCCTTTAACTATAAGGCTTTTGGGCTGTTTTGAGCTTTAGGGAAAGCCAAAGAGCTTAAACCCCTAAACCGAAGACATTACCTAGACCCCTCAGTTACCCTCTAGTATACCCTATATAGATACCCATCATCAAGCAGTTGTGTGAGAGTCGGGTTTAGGGTTCGGGGTTTGGGGTGCAGGGTTTAGGGTCTAGGGTCGTGGCATGCCTCGCCTGGAGCATCCGAGTCTGTGTCACAAAAAAAGGCTTAAACTTTAAACAAACCCGAAACCCTGAAACCCGGAAACCCCGAAACCCTGAACGCCTAAGCCCTGAAACCCTTACCCCCCCTCTTAACCTTGAACTTCGGACGGTGAACCTAAGACCTGAAGCCCCAAACCAAAGCCTCTCAGCCACAAACCTTGATCGTTGTGAGGCAAAAGGGCTGTTAAAAGGCATGAGAGAGAAGGTAGGTCCATTCTTAAACCCCTGAAGCCCATGCGCAAAAAGGGCGCAAACCCTAAGGCCCTAAATCGTAAACCTTGAGGCCCTAAACCCTAACGCCCTAAACCCTAAACCCTAAACCCTATAGGCCTAAGGCTCCAAACCCTAAGCCCCAAAGCTTGAGCATAAAACCCTACACCCCAAAACCCTAAAACCCAAAAACCCTGAACCCTTATAAACCCCTAGGGCTCCAGTTACCTAAATAGTGGGTTACTAACCATATATGTACCCCCAGTAACCTACTATTTAGGTAACTGGAGCCCTGGGGAAACCCTGGACAAGGTCAAGAATGCAGAAGTCGGGGCCCAGACCGGACAGCCGCTCCTATAGCACCTGCCACCCGCCCCGAGATTTGGGACTTGAGGGTTTCTTAGGGTGTAGGGTTTTTTGGGGTTTAGGTTTTAGGGTGTTAAAAGAAAGGGGCCTGAAGAATTAGAATAGGATTTTGGGGCTCTTTTTATAGTATGACTGCAATATGGAGCCCTAAGAAGAATATTGGCCATGATTTAGGCTGCTACACCCTAAACCCTAAACCCTAAAGGTTTTTAGGGTTGACCTTTTGGGGCTTAGAGCTACACCCTAAACCCTAAACCCTTAAGAGGTTTAGGGGTTGACCTGTTGGGGCTGAGAGCTTGAGGTTTCGGGGGTGTAGGGGTGTAGGGCTTCGGCCTGGATGGGCTTAGGGTTTAGGGTTTTGGGGTTTTGAGGGTTTAGGGTTTAAGGGTTTTTAGGGCTTAGGGTTTAGGGTTTAAGCGTTTAGGGTTGCTTAAGGCTTCAAGGGTTCTGTGAAGGGTTCTGTCGTTTTTGTATGCGTTTTTGTTTTCCGCCTTAGGGTTGTTGGTTCAGGAGTTTGGCGTTTATGGTTTAGGATCTAAGGGTTTTGATGTAGAACGTAGCATAAAACGGGCTTAGGGTTTACATTGAGGGTTCCTCTAACGGGTTCCTTTAGAGGTCTAAACTTGATCAGGGATCTACAGGGGTGTCTGCCCATGTAGAAAGTGGTCAGTAATCGTCCTTTCCTTACGGGCATTTGTCTTAGCATCCGTGCAATCGTCCTTAGTAAGGTAAGCAGCTTTAGGGATCTGTGGCCTACATCAAGAAACCCCGATTCAGTTCCTTTAACAATTGGGGGTTTCCGAAAATAGGGGGCCCTAAGATAGTACCCTAAATGGTAGGATCCTTATTCTAAGGACCCCAACATAAGGCACCCCTAAGTTTCGGAAACCCCCAATTAAAGCACCTAGCTCCTGAACAAGAACCGGGCTCACCCGGAAGAGTCGACGCTCAGAGACTTCCAAAGCCCTTGAGGTAAGGAGCCCTAAGTGTCCATGTACCCAAAAGAGTAGATACTTTGGCCTTAAAGTAGTCCCCAAAACAGGTACTTTGTGGCCAATGTATATACTATATGAATACATGGACCCTTTGGGGAGTACAGACCTTGTATCATATTTTGGCCCCCCGCTCTTTCATCAAAGGCCTATGCTTCTACCCCCAGCTACTTCCGAAACGCTTCCAGACCCCGAGTCTCTGAAAGAATCCCTAATATATACCCTACCTTAACCCAAATAACCCTACCTTTTTAGGGTTCCTTATTATATTAGGCCTCTCTATATGAGTCCTTGAAAAGCTGGGTTTTTTGGAGGTCCAGGTAAACTCTACACCCCCAGAAGAGCCCTTACAGGCCCCTAACCTACAGGAGCCCTCAACAGACACCCTGGGGGCCCTGAACACGTAAAGCCTGAAATCCGCTAGAAACCGTAGGTTTGGGGTTTAGCGTTTGGGGATTAGGGTTTAGGGGTTAGGGTTTAGGGTTTAGGGATCAGGGGTTAGGGTTAGTACCCCTATGGGGCCACTCCAGGAGCGCTTCAGCGATACAGGTCAGTGTTTCACAGAGCTCCCAATAGCTGAATCCCCGACGAACTCCCACAGCAGCGGTTAGGTCTGCAGCACCTGGTGTGCAAACTTGTGTGGGCCCCATAGCAACTTACAGTATCTGTTAATGTTTTTAGTAACTTGCACTAACTTATAGCAGTGCACAGTTCTGAAAGTCCAACCTGTTGTCCCCGTGGGTAGTTGGGAGGTGCAAATACTGCAAAAGCCCGGCCCTTGCCGAAACAACTTCAAAACCGTAGCCCTAAGCCGTCGCAAAGCCGAACGGCCCTGTGCAAACAATATTTCAGCGAGACTGTCAGAAAATGAAAGACATATCGAATCTTATCCACCTCCTACGGACTTTAGCAAAGCCATACGTCCCGAGCTTCTGCCATGGTGGAACTCGAGGCTCTCGAGCGAGGTGACTGCAAGAGACTCAAGGAGGATGGCTCCGGAAGCGTGGTCCATTCAACAGAAATCGAGCGGGGCCTGAACCAGCCTGCTTCGAAGTCTGCACAGCTTCTTAGATAGCCAATGGGGGAACTTAAAACTTTTTGGCCTTATATATTATGTCTATCCTAAAAAGTTTGAACTTCTTTGGGCCTGGTTGTTGAAGAAGAGAGGCTTCTTGGCGCCCCTCAGCCTTTCACCTTGCACGTCTTCACCATGAGCGGCCATTGCCTCCTCGAGTTGGAGATCAAACCGCCCGAAGTGCCAAGGATGGAGGAGCTGGCAGCAGAGGTTGGCGGGTTCTTGTTAAGGGGTTTACATAAGTTAAGTTACCATAATATAGGGATCTATAATACATAATATAGTTTCCTTATTATGGTAGCTTAAATCAAATTCCTTAGCAACAACCCAGGTTGGCTTAGCCATGAAGGTCTCTGCTGGAAGGGTGTCCCTTTTGCACGGCACTGAGAAGTTGCCACTCAGCCAGGACGTTTCCGTGCTCCCGAGGCAAGACGATGATCTTCTGGAGCTGCATGCCATCGCAGACGAGCTGGGTGCCCGGCAGTTGGAGATGCGGCCGGGAAGAGTGACTGCAGTGCGGCTTCAGGGGCCGACGAGGCTTGAAGTGGAGTTCGCACCCGGGGAAATCTCAGAGCCGCACTCGCTGCCTCTGTGTTACAATCACACGGTCGTCGTCAGGTCTGACATCCCCAAGCTCCTGTACTCGACTCAAGTCGCGGGTGGGACCGACCTCGAAGTCTCCTCCATGACCTTGCTTGCCACACTGCCGCGCAGCGCATTGCAGGAGCTGCTGCTCCTGCGCCCCAGCGTGAGTATCCGGACAGAGGCGATGATGCGACCAGGTGAGGGGGCCTACCGCCCCGTTCTCATGGCTTTTCGAGAGTCGCAGTTCGAGAGGTGCAGCGTGCAAAACGGCAAGCAGCACCTTTGCCGGCTGGTCAGAAAGCTCGCGGCTTATTGGGTCTTGGACTGCCTCGCGCTGCTGATGTCTGCCGTTGTCGCCATTATGGAGCTGGTTGCGGGGAGCCCTTTGTTTGGGTCCTTGCTGGCAGCCACGCTCTGGCTTCCCGGCTTCATCTGGGCCTGCAGGTACCAGGCATATACTTTCGATCGGAAGTTCGTGGGCTTTGGCGAACTCATGATTTGCCCTGTCGGCTTTGCGAGCTTTTGCTGTGGGATTGTCTGGCTCTGGGTTCCCTTGGGACTCCTGGCGGGCACCTTCGTGGTCAGCGGCTGGCACTTCTTGGGCTTGATGCGGGTCGCTTGCAGCCGCAAGGAGGACGTCGCCTTGCCCTTCGATTTGGAGAAGCTGTACTTGTTCGAGCTGTACAAGCGCGACGTGCGGCTTTTCAGCGACGGCCTGCGATTTGGGCTCCTGGCCGGGGTCTTCGCGCTGCAGCAGGGCAGTCGGAACGAAAGCCTTGTTGCGCTGATTGCTACAGTGCTGGCGGGATCGGTCTCGCTGCTGCGTCATCGACGTGCACTTTTCGTTGAGGCATTCAAGCACTTCGATGAGGTGACGATGGAGCAGCTTTCCGACTGAGCCGACGGTGAAAAGCAAATGCCTGAAAGAGAGGGTCAAGCAAGACTAACTAGAACAAGACTCCAAGCCCCAAACCCAAAGTCAGCCGACTTAATCGGGTCACCGTGTCGTTTCAGTGTGGCAATGATCCACCTCTCACGCAATCTGGCCGCCCATCGCAGGAACAACAACAGTAACGATCGTGTGGTTTGACCGACAGTCGAAGTGTTTTGCGCTCCTTGTCCTTCCGGTTCTGAACGGGTCTTTTGCATTTGGTCACAGACCGGATGGAGACACAAGTCTTAGATGCCCTTGCCGGCGAAGCCTTGACCAGACTTTTGGCTGTCAACTGGCATTTATTCTACTTGAAGGTTCACGGGTAGTTATAAATGGGGTTATACGTAGGGTATCTATACATATTAGGGGACTTAGAACCTCACTTTTAACTACCAATGAACCTCCAAGTATCTCTAACAATCCTAAGATTCGGGAGTCTCCGAACTGTCGTATGAGTATAGCTCCTGGTCGTCCTTGCTTGATGAATGTGCAGAACCTTTGAAACAGATGAGCAACGTCTCAATCACATGTGGGTAGTGAAAGGGAATGAAAGGGAGGTGGACTGCTGTGCTTTCTGATTGTTGTACTTACACAATGCTCATGATACTTGTTACTCGCTGATCTGCGACATTTGCTCTTCGTAGCTGCATGCGGTCTCTCTCTCTCTCTCTCTCTCGCTCGCTTTGCAGCGGAGACAGAACTATGCGGAGCCTTGCCGGCCTAGTGCGAGTGTGAGAGTCGAAAACCCCCAAAGCTCGGACCCCGAAGTGCTAAGCCCTGAATCCTAAGCCCACAAGACCCTTAAGTAAAAACCTTAAACCCTAAACCCTAAACCCTAAACCCTCAACCCCCCAAGAGCCCGCGTTACCAGAGGTTTACCTGCCTTCGGGAGGTATCAGCAGTGGCCATCTGCCCTGGCAGCTTGGGCTTGCTCCTGTAAGGTACTTCGGGGCTGAGTAGGTAACCTTTAACCTTTTTGGGTTTTAGGGCTTTAGGGTTCCTTTAAAGGGATCTATAAGGGTTTATAGGGTTTCTTAGTAGCTGAGTAGGTGACCTTTAACCTATTGGGGCTTATATAAACCTGTTATAATTCAAAAGGTTAAGGTTTTTTGGGCCAAGGTACTCGGCCCCTAAGGGTAATAATGTACTTCGCCGGTCGGGGGACTTAGTAAGTAGTTCTTTTATAGAGTTATAGGTATCTTAACCCCAATTATGATGTCTATTTGGGGTACTTATAAGTCTACTTACT